TGCAGTAGCATGTCTGGTCTGTTATTCTAGCATGCAACTGAAGCTGAACACAACTTCAGTTTGTTCGTAGTCACTGTCTTTGTCAACATGTCTGCCGGATTTTGAGCTCCACTAATCTTTTCGAGTTTCAAAATCCCATCTTCCAGAGAGACCGGATAAAAATGATATCTCAATTGTATGTGCTTTGTCTTGGAATGAAAAGACGGTTCTTTGCTAGATGGATAACACTTTGACTGTCGCAATACAAGATATTGTTTTCTTGTTTCTTGCCTAACTCTTCCAAGAAACTTTGGAGCCAAACCATCTCCTTGCTGGCTTCCGTAACAGCGACATATTCTGCTTCAGTTGTGGAGAGAGCAACTATCTTCTGTAGTTGAGAAACCCAACTCACTGCAGTTCCTCCTAGAGTATAGACATACCCTGTAGTGCTCCTTCTGATGTCGACATTTCCGGCTAAGTCAGCATCTACATAGCCTGTCAGTATCATATCTCCACCTTTGAAACAAAGTGCTTTGTTGTGGTACCCGAAGATATCTGAGGATCCATTTGACTGCTTCCCAGTGTACTTGCCCGGATTATTCATGTACCTGCTAACAGCTCCCACTGCATGAGCAATATCTGGTCTGGTACAAAAACATGACATACATCAGACTTCCAATTGCTGAGGCATACGGCACCTTCACCATGTGTGCACGTTCTTCCTCCGTCTTTGGTGATTGGTCTTTGGAGAGTCTGAAATGAACACCTAAAGGTATACTTACTGGTTTAAACATCTTGCATGTTGAACCTGGAGAGTACTTTGTTGATGTACTCAGCCTGTGATAACATCAAAGTCCCTGACTTGTGTCTCTCTTGATCCTCATCCCAAGAATCTGCTTTGCAGCGCCCAGATCCTTCATAGCAAACTGCTTCGACAATTTTTGCTTCAAGTTATGATCTCTTGCATGTTTGAGCCTGCAACGAGCATGTCATCAACGTACAACAATAAAATAATGAAACTATTGTCGAACCTCTTGATGTAGCAACAAGATCTGCTTGGCATCTGGTAAAACCACTGCTACTCATGAAACTATCGAACTTCTTGTACCACTGTCTAGGAGCTTGTTTTAAACCATACAAGCTCTTCTTCAACCTGCATACCAGATTTTCTTGCCTGCCTCTATGAAGCCTTCTGGCTGCCTCATATAGATCTCTTCCTCCAAATCACCATGAAGGAAAGCTGTTTTTACATCTAACTGCTCAAGATGTAAATTCTTCGCAGCTACAATTTTCAACACCAGTCTGATTGTAGACAGTTTTACGACTGAGAGAAAATTTCATTGTAGTCAATACCTTCTTTTTGCTGAAAACCTTTGACAACCAATCTTGCTTTGTAGCGTTTTCTCCCATCATGTTCTTCTTTGATCCTGTAAATCCACTTGTTATGGAGCGCTTTCTTGCCTGGTGGCAATTCAGCTAATTCCCACGTCTGATTTGACATAAGCGAGTCCATCTCATCTTTCATGGAAGACTCCCACTTGACTGAATCCTCCACCTGCATTGCTTCATCATAGCACTCTGGTTCACCATTGTTAGTCAACAACAAATAGTGCAAAGAAGGCGAATACCGTTGGGTTGGTTTAGGAATTCTGGAGGAGTGTCTCAGTTCTGGTGTGTGTGGTTCTTCTTGAACTGCTTCAGGATTGATCTGAACATCATTTCCAGAAATCTCCTCGAACTCAGCAAATTCCTTTGTTTCAGCTTCGGTATTACTTGATTCTGCGGTTGACTTATCTTTGTACATCACATTTTCATTGAAAATGACGTCTCTGCTTCTGATGATCTTTCGATTTTCGTAGTCCCAAAACCGGTAACCGAACTCATCACCACCGTAACCAACAAAGACGCATTTATTGGACTTGGCATCAAGTTTACTTCTTCAGCAGAGTTTATGTGTACATAAGAAATACAACCAAACACTCGTAAGTGTGAAAGGTTTATTTCTTTCTTGCTCCAAGCTTCCTTTGGTATTCCGCCATCCAAAGGAACTGAGGGCCCACGGTTGATCAGGTAAGCTGCAGTGTTGATAGCTTCAGCCCATAGAAATTTGGGCAATCCGGCATGTATCCTCATGCTTCTGGCACGCTCATTCAGAGTTCTGTTCATGCGCTCTGCTACGCCATTCTGCTGCGGTGTTATGGGAACTGTTGTCTCCATCTTGATCCCATTGTTTGCGCAGAAATCTCTAAAACTACTGTCTCTGTACTCTCCTCCATTGTCAGACCTCAACCGCTTGACTTTCAAACCAGTCTCATTTTCCACCATGGCCTTTCATTTTCTGAAGGTATCAAAGACTTCCGATTTCTTCTTCAGAAAATAAACCCACACCTTCCTTGTTGAATCATCGATGAAGGTGACATAATATAGTGAGCCTGCAAGAGATGGAACAGGGGATGGTCCCCATACATCAGTATGAACCAATTCTAACCTTTCTGCCTTGGGAGTCTTGCCAATCTTTGTAAAACTGACTTTCTTTTGTTTTCCAAAGATGCAATCCTCGCATAGTCCGACATCTACATTCTTTAGATCCGGCAGCTTCCCTTTTGACAGAAGTATCTTCATTCCTTTCTCGCTCATATGGCCGAGCCTTTGGTGCCATAGGTTTGATTTTCCATCAGCATGCTACTGCAATGATTCTCTAAATTTGAGGTTACATAGAGAGTACCAGTCTTCTTACCACGAGCAATGACGAGTGCTCCTTTGGTAATCTTCCATTCACAGCCTGAAAAAGTTGTACTATATCATTCTCCATCAAGCTGTCCAACAGAAATCAGATTTCTTTTGAGGCCAGGAATATGTCTCACTCCTGTCAGCTTCCAGGTGGTATGGTTTGGCAGCTTTAATCGGATGTCTCCTTTTCCGACGATCTTCAAGGTTTCATCATCAGCTAGATGAACCTTTCCAAAATCACCACTGACATAGTTCTCCATGATTTCTCGGCATGGGGTGGAGTGAAAAGATGCCCCTGAATCCAAGATCCATGATTCAATCGGACTGTTGACGCTTAAAATCATGGCATCACCTGTCTCCTCCGTCATGTTGGCAGATTCCTGTGTGCCGGTATTTTTCTTCGGTGCTCGGCAATCTCTTTTGAAGTGACCCTTCTTGCCGCAATTATAACATGTAAAATCTTTATTTCCTGTTCTTGATTTGCCCCTTTTGGATTTTGATCTGCCACGATTTGAATTTCTTTCTGAAGTTCTCCCTCTAGACTCCGTGTGCAAGGCTGAGGAGGTTGATGCTTCACCCGATTCTCTTAGTCGAATTTCTTCACTCAATACCAGATCCCGAACATCATCGAATTTTAATTTGCTGTTTCCCGACGAACTGCTGACTGCTGTAACAGTAGCATTCCAACTGTTGGTAGAGATGATAAGAATTAAAGCTCAAACTTCATCATCGAACTCAATTTCCATTGAACTCAACTGGGTTGTGATTGTGTTGAGTTCATTTAGGTGTTGTAACACCGATGCCCCTTCCGCCATCCGCAAATTGAATAATCGCCTCATCAAATGAACTTTGTTTGAGGCCGATGGCTTCTCGTACATACTGGAGAGAGCCGCCATAAGACCCGCCGTGGTCTTTTCCTTTGCTATGTTAAAAGCAACATTGCGGGATAACGTCAGTCGGATAACTCCGAGGGCTTGTCTGTCGAGAAGAGCCCAATCTTCATCATTCATGCCCTCTGGTTGCTTTCCTGAGAGAGGTTGATATAGATTTTTCTGGTACAAAAAATCTTTAATCTGCATCTTCCAAAAGCCAAAGTCCGCACCATCGAACTTTTCAATTTTCACATTCCCTTCGTCTGCAGCCATCGCTCCCACTCGAATCTGGCTTCGTTTGGATTGTTTCTGACAATTCTTGCGAATCACCGTGTATTAGAACACCACCGTCGACAAACTCGTATCGCCGATCGAATTTCACTATTCACGAAATTCACTATTCACGTTAATAGTAATGAATAGTAACCTCGCAGAAAATTTAACAAAATTCACAACCAAAAGCTCTGATTACCAGTTGTTAGGAAAATAAACCGAGTACAAGTAATTTCCCTATAACCAGATTAGTGAGAATGCGAAATAAAAGCGGAAAAATAATACCCGAAAATTGATAACGGAGTTCAGCCAATTGTGCTTACGTCTCGGGCTGCTGCAGATCTTTTAAGAGAGAAAATTTACAGGTGTTTACAAAACACTCACTACTCACAAGAAAGCTCTCTAGTATATGAAGAAAGAAATGTTTTGGGATGATTTTGAAACTAAATGGGTAAGGGTATTTATAGTAGAAACTTAGGGACTAATCTTTGAAAATACCCTAAAGTGTAATGACTAAAGTGAATTTACCCATTCCTATTTTCAACAAAAATCTACCAAAATTTTACCAAACTTTGAAAAACATTTTTCAAAGAAATATTTACCAAACTTTGAAAAAACATTTTCCAAAGTTGGTTGCCAAACTTTGAAACTTTTAACAGGTTTATCATCCCTTAAATATGCATAAATAAACTTTGAAAATAAGAGACCTAAACTCTAGCAGGAAGCTTAATGAGTAAATAAAACGAGGAAATATTGAATCTTTAGGGGTACTTCGTTCGCCTCTTGTATAAACGACATTCGTGAACATAAAGAACCGAAAACACTTCTATTAGTGTTCATGAACATAAATAAACCCGAACACACATTTATTCGTGTGTTTTTTCATTTATTAAATGAATATAAAAAATTACTCGTTTATTTAGCTTAACAAACAAATATAAATGAACATTATACGAACGGTTCACGAACAACTCATTGAACGCTCTGTTCATTTACACCCCTACCTACACAATGTTGTTCATCTAATTCGCCGTTCTTCTAATTCTACCGCTCATATATTGCTAATTATGCCTCTGTCATGAATACTTCTTTAATTTCTGACTCTGACGTCCCAACAGGCTACACTCCTCTGCCTTCACATTGGTGACCCTAACTCAAAAGCCTAACTTTTGTTAATTCATCTCACCGCTTCTCTTTTCTTACATGCTCGCCTATATCTGCATCCAAAACCACACCCACCAAGCCATGCAACCGTTCTGAAACTGATGCTAAGCTAGTAAGCTCGGACCTTGGAGCCTCATCAGAGCTAGCTAATCATGGCCGACTCGATCCATACGCCCCATCAAGGCCAAACCAAAGAAGAATACACGGACCTAAAGCCTCTCATCGAAACATACCACAACTTCGCACCGATCCCCAACACATGCACTTCCCTAATATCGCAACGCATCGACGCCCCGGCTCATGCTGTATGGCCATTGGTCCGAAGCTTCGAAAACCCTAAAAGATACAAGAACTTCGTCAAGAGCTGCAACATGACCGCCGGAGACGGCGGCGTGGGGAGCATAAGGGAAGTCACCGTCGTCTCGGGCCTTCCAGCGTCGACGAGCACGGAGAGGCTAGAGATTTTGGAGGATGAGAAGAGAATATTGAGCTTTAGGGTTGGCGGAGAGCATAGGTTGAGGAACTACAGGTCGGTGACGTCGGTAAAAGAGTATCGTAAGGAAGGGAAAGCTTACACAATTGTTTTGGAGTCTTACATCGTGGATATACCAGAAGGGAACACCGGTGAAGAAACCAAAATGTTTGCGGATACAGTTGTGAAATTGAATCTGCAGAAGCTTGGAGACACAGCAATGGCTTCTTTTCACGTACATGATTAACATATTAATGGGGTTCGAGTTTGAAAGTGTGGGGATTAAAGCTTGACATGTATATCTTAATGTTTGGATTATGGGATACTATTTTAATCTCTCAAATGTTCGTTCGAGTTTATTAAATTTTGAATATTACAATATAATTTAAAAGTAATATATATTTAAAATTTTTCAGATATTGATAATATATATAAATTTTATAGACACAATTATTCGAACTCAAAATTTTTAATCTTCAGCACTGAATCCGTTGAATGAATTCTGATTTATATATATCAAATGTATTAAAGGGTATTTTATAAGCTTGTACAAGTTCACTGAATTAGTATTTGACAAGTAACTGAATTTTCAACCATCATTGCTAAATATTCAGTGAGATGTGAGAAAACATGTGGCTGTAGATGTCTATACATACATATATCACATGGATGATATGGTTGAGAGAGCAGAAAGTAGGTGAACGATTTGCTGCAACACTTTTTCATAATGCGGCATCAAATGTCAACCATGTGAGTGATAGAGACAGAAACCCCATTAAGACTTCTTTCTTATTTGCAGCTCAAAGTCAAAACCCATCTTCATCTTATACCCACATGCTATTCCTAATATTATATATATATATATATATATATATCTAATTATTATATGATTATGATACATTGTCAATGAAAAAATAATTTTTAAAAATAATCAATTATTTTAATACTTTGAGGTCGTGGGATCGAGTCCCACGGAGGGCATTTCATAATTTGAAGGTCTTCTACTGAAGCTGCTCTTAACCTGGTATTGGGGGCAGCCTACTATCTTACCTCCCCTTACCCCATTATATATGGGAACAAAGGACAATCATTTTAATTATTTTTAAAAATATAAAAAATATTTTACATTATTTAAACATTAATTATCAAATTATTAACAGCATCATATATATATTATAGCATAAATGAGGCTGTCATGAATTTGTTTGTTCTAGAAAGAAATCAAATCCATAAGTATTCTTTTCCGTGATGCTGTGCCATCACATTTGATGAGGGAAATCAAGAAAAAGAGTGGGGTTTCCTCTCAATCATAATTCATGTTTGTGGCCCTTCACGATTCCAATTTCTTATTCAATACTGTTGAAAGAGAAATTTCCAATCCCCAAATATTGTAACTGTAAATAAAATAATCATTTATAAGAGTTTATTAATTTCATTTTATTCGATTTAAAAATTTTGTAGTGTGACGTTTGATAAAAAATAAATTAAAGATAAGATAAGATATATGATTAAAGTTAAGACTGTGATACAATTTTATTCAAATAGAATTATTGTGTTCATATATATATATATATATATATATATATATATATATATATATATATATATATAAGGTTATAGGATTTGAAATAATCTCATATAATTCTCTTGTAATTTGTCATCGACTATAGTGAATATTTTCTTCTTCCATATAGTCTTTTCCTTTTAGGAATTTTTTGTTGGAAAAATAGATTTTACAAAATTTGAAGCATATTTTTAATGTATAAAGGTGAAGATTTGAATCATAAAATTGTGATTTAATATTTTATTCCATGAGACCTTTATAATATATCATATGTTTAAAATAATTGATTGATGGATGAGAAATTGATGTTCAAAGTAAGTTGCTGATGTGCTCATATCGTTATTGTATCTTGAAAGACAATCGACTAACATTTTCTAACATTGTAAGAGCGGACGAATCTATCTTTTAGAAATTGTGCAAATAAGCCCCAACGACTCTTCCAATATAATTTCATAATTACTAACAAGGAAACAGTTTCTACTTCGTATATATATATATTTAAAAATATACATATATAAACCTAGCACGTATAATGAGTTTTTTTTAACAATCATGATGAATTAGACAATAAAAATAATAATGTTAAAAACGCTAGGATCTTACATTGAGTAAAAAATACTTTAGACACCTACATTGAGTGAAAAATATTTTTTTGGTCAAAATAAGTACCTAAACTTATCCTTTTTATTTATCAAAATAGGTATTTAAAGTATTTTTTTTTATCAAAATAGGTGCCTAAAGTATTCAATATTTTTTATTTAAGTTCTAAAAAAGTTGACACGTGAAATTAATTAAAGAATATTTTAAGTACTTAAATGAAAAATATTAAATCCTTTAGGTACATATTTTGACCAAAAAATACTTTAGATAAATAAAAATAATAATATACTTCATGTACTTATTTTGTTATATAAGCTTTTTTTAAGCCATCAATGAACCATGTTCATCCCATATACTACCATATGAAGTGGGTTGGGCTGTGGGTTGTTTAAACGCAACGTTTTAAATTTGCCACCCATGGTTGGTGCCTGCCTGGGCCGGGGCTGGCGTTATTTGGTTGTGGACGGTGGTAGAAGTGGCGATAGGAGAGAAATTTGTAAATTAAATATGAAATTGGAGAAGGAAATCGGAATACAAACTATTATAATTTGAAATGCTGAAGAAGAATAACAAGAATTTCAGGAAGAGAAGCTTTGAAGAAGACGAAGGAGATGATCCAGCCGCCAAATCAGACGATGAAGAAGACAGACGGTAGTCTTTTCCTACCTTTTCTTTTTAAAAAATAAATTAGGTTTTTTTAAAAATAATTTTTGAAATTCAAAGTATAGGTTGGCGTTAGAGGAAGTGAAATTCCTGCAGAAACAGAGGGAGAGGAAATCAGGAATCCCTGCAATTCCTACGGTGCAAACCGGAGGCGTCGTAGCTAAAGTTACCGAGAAGGTCGATGCTGATGGAGAAAAGGAGGAGCTTGTGCTTCAGGACACCTTCGCCCAAGAAACCGCCGTCCTTGTTGAGGATCCAAACATGTATGCTTTTTTTTTTCTTTTACCCTTTGCATTTGTGTGTGTTTCTGGACTGTCTAATTGTTTATTTGTTTATCTTTTCTGTAATTGCTTTGTGCACTTAGGATAGAATATGTAGAACAAGAATTGGCTAAGAAAAGAGGAAGGAACATGAATGAGAAAAATGAAGTTGAGAATGATTTAACTCGAGCCGAAGATGAATTGTACAAAATTCCCGAGCATCTTAAAGTGAGTTTCCTTTGCATTTGCAAACAATTTCCATTGTTGTTCTTATGAACTTTTATGTTTGATGTTTAGTTTATTACAAAAACATAGCCAATTTATTGCTTTTGATTTTAAATCGATTGACTTTGTTTCTCTCATTTGAACAATGCTTCTTGATTATTTTGTTTAAAAAATTTATGCAACTTCTTGGCTTATTCCTTGCAGGTGAAAAAACGGAATTCCGAAGAAAGCTCTACACAATGGACTACTGGGATTGCTGAAGTTCAGCTGCCAATTGAGTATGACTTTTACTAATCTTTCATTTTAAGAACATAAGCTTCTGCTGGATCTCCGATCACGGGATCCTATTTTGTAGTTTTCTTCGATATAGCAAAAATTTAGCTTTTAGGGAAGAGTTTGTTAGCTGCTGTGCTGCTAAGCAAGCGTTATATAATGTCTTTAGACCAACTAAATGATGACAAAAGTGTGCCACCCTTTTTTCTGTAATATATGAATCAATGTTATTCTAATGGCTTCTTTGATTGCAGATACAAATTAAGAAATATAGTGGAAACTGAGGCTGCCAAAAAGCTTCTACAGGAAAAGCGGCTCATGGTACGGGCAAAATCAGAAGTTAACATCCCATCAAGTTATAGTGCCGATTACTTCCAGCGAGGCTGGGATTACGCCGAAATACTTAGAAGAGGTTGCTTACATTTTCTTTTCACGCTTTTGTATATATTTTTTTGGTGATTAACGCTTTTTGTAATTAGAAGTTACTGATTTTAGTTCATTTTGTTTTTCTCTGCAAAATACTTGTTAGTTGGGATGATTCGGTCTTCTTCCCTCTATTATCACGAATTGCAATCTTTATGTCCTTTTGTTCCGATTTTGCTTCTTCTTCTTCTTCTTCTTGAGGTACATCGAGTTCACACATTACCCCTTTTCCTTCCTCCGAATTTGCAGAACATCCTGAGCTGTACAAGGACAGAGGTTCACAGGATGACAATGCTAGCTCCAAAACGACTGATGCGAGCAATAGGGCTGTAAATGAGACGAGACAGATCGTGAGCTACTCGAGATTGACTCGATCTTGGCTCGATAAATACTCGGATCGAATGGACTCGACTCGAGCTCGAACTCGACTCGAGTTCTTAACGAGCCGAAACGAGCTATTCGATACTCGACTCGAAAAGCTTGTGAGCAGCTCGAAAAAAATGTTATATTATAATTTTAGATTTTTTAAAAATTACATTATTAAAAATATATTATTGATGAATAAATATTCTTAAATTGAAAATGGTTAAAAATTATTTTTGAATAAACTTTCTTATATTTATTTTAAATTAATAAAAAAATTATTTATCTAATGACAAATATTTAATATATTTCTAATGATAATATTTGTAATAACTAATTTTTTAAATTGTTGTTATATTTTGAGGTTTCAAGTTCAAATATTATAAATATCAAGGGTTTGAGCATTTAATATCAAGATATTATATTGTACTTACATCATAACTAATTTTTTATTTAATAATAAATATAATATAATAAAAAAATATGATTCAATTTAAATATTAATAATTTAAAAAATATATATCAAAACAAGTATACCTTCTCTCCTTTCACTAAGTCATCTCATTCTTTCAAATTATGTGATAAGGTTTAGGGTTTAGAGTTGATATGATATGATTTAAGGTTTAGGGTTTATAGTTTAGAGTTTATGTAATAGGATTTAAGGTTTAGAATTTAGTGTTTATGGTTTAAAGTTTAGGATTTAGGGTTTAGGGTTTAGGGTTTTAGAGTTTATGTGATATGATTTAAGGTTTATAGTTTAGGGTTTATTGTTCAAAGTTTTAGAGTTTATGTGATATGATTTAAGGTTTATATGTTAAGGGTTAGGGGTTAGGGTTTAAGTTATAACATACAAAATGGCATAATTATATGATCTGATCCGAATATAACATATTTTCAGCTAAATATTTCAAAATATTTATTCTAAATATATACATATATTCTGAATCCGACAAATCATCCAAAAATTCAAATATTCTAAATGTACAATATCTATTAAAATCCGACAAGCCAATATGGAATATATAATATTTATCCAAATTGTATTTAAGGCAATCAATTTTACATAACATTCATGTTTCAAATCAATTTCAACCAAACAAATAATAAGAAACCAAATAAAATAATGTAGCCCCAATTAAAAAGACACACCTCATTAACAGTTAAGGACCGATAATAACCTTTATTACGGTCAGCTCGAACAGTGGATCGACCCGAATTAGAACATACAAAATATTTTAAATAAACAAATTATTCTAAAATTAACGACAAGACCAACCTACTAAAATTTGACAATTAACACTCACAGTCAACACAAGCTGCAATAGTCGATTTGAAGTTCGTGGGTAAAGTGGAGGAGGCTGTAACTCGATTCCTAATTCAAAATTTCCTACAAAATTCACGATGCTTGATTTCAAATTCAAATACCAAACTTCATAATGTAGGAAATAATTTTACAGTGACAAAAATGTGTATGTATATATTTTTCTGGTTCAAGTCGGAGAACTGGCCTGACAGTGAGTTCCATTCGAATATAATATTCGAACGAAACAACGGAGGGGGCTACCGAGAGTAGTCCACAAGGGTCGGCGAACTTACGGCTGTACTTGCCGTGACATTAAACGACCGGCCACCATATGGCAGTGGCAACAACAACCAAACAGAACAGACAAAATGGAAAAACAAATAAGAAATAGAGACAAAATCAACTTGTTCGTGGCGAATCTTTCATATGAAGTGAGGGCTCTGAGGGTGCTAATGTTGTTTATGCTGAAGTTATATTTCATGATAATCCGAGAAAGTCATCCTGCTATGCCTTTGTCTCTTTCAAATCCAAGAAAGAAGCTGATGCATCACTGTCTGCTTTCCAAGGGAAGGTAGTTCCTTATTTTGTAAATTTCTAGATTATTTTTTTTTGTATTTTCAGTCAAGAAACTGATAATTTATGATTGTAGATGTTTATGGGAAGATAGATTCGAGTGCAACGTAGTCGACAATTCGTGAAAGTCATGTTAGGTCGTGAATGCTTGAATTAAATTCAAACAGGAAGTTAACCTACTTTGGTAATTTGAGACTTTTCAAAGTTTCCACCATGGATGCAACACGTTCTGGAATAAACCAGCATATTAACATATCTCCCGAAATGGCCAATGAGATAAAGGTTTGTAGACATTTTTGCTGAACTTGTTCTCCTACTCTTGTGATCTTCCACATGTTAACAAAATTTAATACATATATAGCAAGCGGAGAACCAGATAAAGAGAATACTGGGAATTGAAAATCCATATCAGAAAGAAGGCTGATCGATGATCTTACTAGAATGGGGATGAACGAATCAATTGTAAGTAGTTAACTTAAAAACTGATTCATTCGAGTATGCCAATTTTCGGGTTGTATGTACATCCGGTTCAATCATGTTTGTAATATGGTAGTTATGTTTGGCAGGTAAGAAGAGCCATTCTAATTATGCACCAGAGGGGTGAAGTTGAATATCAACGAGAAAGGCATGTAATTGTCCGTAAAGTATGATGTTGCTGTTGTAATATTTGGGAAGACAGGTTCACAGTCCAACGATAAATCGACCGAGTGAAAGAGCTGAAACCAGAACCAGAAGCAAGGTTCACTGTCCTAACTCCTATGTGAGTTATATCCCACATCGGTGGTTCTTGGGGAATAAGGGGTAAGTCGAATGTATAAAAGGGGATGGGTTTCAACAAAAGAATATTAACCCATCCTTGAGCTTAAGTCGAGCTTGAATCGAGCTCACAATCGAGCTCACAATTGAGCTTCAATTGAGCTTGAGTCTTGAGCTTCAATCGATCTCTTGATTTTTTTTTTGAGTTCGAACCTTTTCGAGTTCGAGTCGAGTTTCAATATTATTTTTCGAGTTCGAGTCGAGCTTGAAAATTTTAGGCTCGCGAGTTTTCGAGTCGAGTCGAGCTTATGTTTAAAGTTTTCGAGTTCGAGTCGAGCTCGGCAATACTCGAGCTCAACTCGGCTCGTTTACACCCCTAGCGAGCAATGATGCAGCGGGAAGCAGGCAAGCTGCAACCGATCAGTTTATGCTAGAGCGCTTCCGGAAACGTGAACGCCAACGAGTAATGCGGAGATAACACAGCTACACAAGCAGCTTATAAGATTGAACTTTCAAGTTCCACTTCCTACGATTAGCTGCAATGCTCTACTTGTGCACCAAAAAAGTTCACTTGGCAACGAAAGGTAAAATTACCTGATAATCTGTTGTTGCTGTGAATGTTGTGTACCATCGTGGATTTCCATGATGATTGAGATACTGTTCTTTTTGTAACAAGTTATTCTTAAATACTAGAACCCTAGTCATGTAAACATATTTGAAATGCTTTTGAATTTCTTTTTGTTCAAATTCTATAAATAGTCCCTGTTGTATTCATAAGTTGTAGATTTAATTTTAATCCTTATTTTTTAAAACTTTATAATTTCAATTATGACTCATATTTCAAGGATGGTATGATTAAATTAGAGGGATATTATCTCTGGGAAAAGAGATGGATTGGGTACATGAAAATTTATTAAGAGATTCGGAGTACTTTCTACAGTATCTCATACTTTTTTTATAATGTTAATTGTATAATAATTAATAACCACGACTTAGGCAAAATTGTCCTGAAACTCAAATAATAATGTTAATTGTATAATAATATGAGAGAATCGCCTCAGTGACCAAAAAAAAGTTATAATATACGATTTTAACCAACTTTTTTTGGATTTGCCAAAATGACCAACAAAATCGCAACGCGAAATAAAAATCGCAACGCGATCCCCAGAATCGCAAATCAGTTTCCAAAATCGCAACGCGATTCTTGAAAATCGCGATGCGATAGTACAAATTCGCATTGCGATTTTCCATAATCGCAACGCGAATATGAAAATCGCAACGCGAACACATAAATCGCAACGCGTATCCGTAAATCGCAACGTGTATCCGTAAATCGCAACGCGTATGGGTAAATCGCAATGCGTATCCGTATATCGCAACGCGTATCCGTAAATCGCAACGCGTATCCGTAAACTGCAACGTGTATCCGTAAATCGCAACGCGTATCCGTAAATCGCAATGCGTATCCGTAAATCGCAACGCGTATCCGTAAATCGCAACGATAATCCGTAAATCGCAACGCGTATCCGTAAATCGCAACGATAATCCGTAAATCGCAACGAGAATCTGTAAATCGCAACGATAATCCGTAAATCGCAACGAGAATCTGTAAATCACAACACTTAAATTTTGGGTATATAACACTGAAATCATAAACTAAATCCCTAAATCGCAACTCATTCCATCTCCATCTATCACTCTCTCCGGCGACATCCGTTCCTATATCCAACGACATCCTTCCCAATCCGGCAACAGGTTTTAGTTTCGCAGCTCGTCTGTTTAGTAAATTAATTTACAACCATGAAATCATCTAATGTTGATCATGTTTGGATAGATTTGTGTTTTGGAGGGTCATGGGATAATGTTCATGGTGTTTTACAATATATGCCTTTACCCATGAATCTTCAACTAAATTGTCTTTACAAAAGTTAACTTATGAAACTCTAATGCTACGTGTTTCAAATAAATTGAATTTAGAGCCCCTAAGTGGATTTAGGCTATCTTATCAGAGAAATGGTAAAGTTTATTTGTTAACCGACAATGAAGATGTTGAACGATTCATTGCTTACATTAGTGTTTCACAAGATGATGTTACATTGTATGTTGTTGAACCTAGAAGTAGTATTGTTGGGTCAGTAGCGGGTAGTAATCAACTAAGTTTTTCTCAAAACCCACAACCTTTCTCTAATCCAAATCCCAATCAACTTTCAGCACCAAATTCCGGTTTTCGTATTGACCAGTTAGACGATGATGAGCCAACAGAAAAAATTGTGAGTACTAGTCAGTATTCGAAATTTGGTCTTGGTCAATATCCGGACTTTGATATTGGTCAATACACGGATTTTGATGATGTTTCAGAAGAAGAAACAGACCATGCGTGTAATGATATTGATATTGGTCAATACCCGAATTTTGATGATGAAACAGCCGTTGCCGAAGAATGTAATGTTGATGATAATGAGGAGGAAGTTACGACTGTGAATGAACATGTTGAACATCCATTCTGTAATTCATATAATCCTGAAGAAGAAAAGAAGAAGAAAAAGTCCCCGAAGAAAAGAAAATGCCACGGGCGTATAACTGGAATATGCCAGAATTACTTCAGATACCGGAAGAAGAGTTGATAAAGAAAGCAGTTGATTGTTACACAAAGTTATTCGTATCAAGAAAGATGATTGTTTTGATACAAAGGAAGACTTGAAGATAGCTTTATACGAAATGTGTGGAAGATGGCTATCAACTAAAAGTTAACAAATCAAGCAAAGATCGTTTCGAAACAAGGTGTATGATTGACAAAACTGTACGTGGCGTATGATTGCAAAGAGAATAAAGATTGCAAAATGTTTCAAGTTAGGACTTTTATTGATAAACATACATGTTCAAGAACCCAAGTTTTTCCTCACCATAGACAGGCAAACAAAAAGGTGTTGGGTGGTTTTCTGGCTGAGTTAATGTTTTTGAATGGCAGGGTATATCGGGGACATGAAATTATGACTGACATGAATGCTCGGTTCAAGATTAGTATATCATATTCTCAAGCTTGGAGAGCCAAATGTTATGCCTTGGAATTGTTGAGGGGGTCGCCAGAAGCATCGTTTGCCCAACTGCCGGCTTATTGTCACAATTTAAAGCTGAAAAATCCTGGGTCGGTAACTCATATCAAAACAGATAGAGATGGACGCTTTGAGTTGCTGTTTATCGCCATTGGTGCTACGGTTAGTAAATCAATATAATTTTGTTGACTCATTTTTGTTAGTTACATGCATTTCACATTTAAATGATTATATTTCTTGTGTATATTATTTTGTAGATTCGTTCATTTATTACTTGCATGCGCCCAGTTATTATAGTTGACGGAGCACATTTGAAAGGTCGATACCTTGGAGTAAACTTATTAGCAGTAGCCATGGATGCTAACAATGGGATATTGCCAATAGCTTACAGGGTTGGCAAATCTGAAACCTCTGATTCATGGACATGGTTTATGGGCATCTTAGGGATTGCATAGGTCCTATTAGCAATCTGACAATCATATCCGATAGGGCAAAATCAATTGACAACGCTGTTAGAAGGTGTTTCCCAGATGCTTTCATGGACTTTGTGGTGTTCATTTGTATAGAAATCTAAAATCAAGGTCTGCTGGTATAAAAAAGCACAAATGGACATACTGGAAGGCTGTAAAAGCTTATCGGGAAGTGGATTTCAATAAGCATATAAATTGTTTAAGACGTGTTTTGCCTCAGTGTGCTCAAACACTAGAAGATGTCGGGTTTGAAAGATGGTCAAGAGTACATCAACTTGGAGCAAGATATGGTTTCATGACGTCTAATAGTGCAGAATCAATCAACGCTCTAAGTCGTCATTCCCGGAAATTACCCATTACTATGTTAATGGAGTTTTTTCGAGCCTCTATTCAACAGTGGTACTACAAGAAAAGAAACCATGCAGGTATTATTTCTTTGAATTCGTAACTTATCATATTTATATTTTACTAAGTATTGTTTATTTAAATTTACAGGAACATTGGAACATCGTGTTACACCATGGACTGAAAAAAAGATAACGAAACGTGTTGTGAAGTCAACGTCATGGAGAGTTGAACCATGTTCAAACACTTTGTTTCAAGTACTGGATAATAACTTAAATGGGCTAGTCGATCTAAATGCAAAGACGTGTAGTTGTATGAAATGGCAAACATCTGGTTATCCGTGTGGCCATGTTATAA